AATCCTTCAATATACAAAATATTTAAATCCTTCAATATACAAAATATTTAAATCCTTCAATATACAAAATATTTAAAGATTTGAATTCACCCTAATAAAACCAAGTGATAAAGCATTGGGTGACTTTGACTTTCTTCGACCCAAGTTTGGCTCATTAACAAGACCCTTAATAACAGAATTAACCATCTACCAGAAAAATTTAGATTAATTTTTCAATGCAACACGTTTTCAAAGTTTTTGCTTGAAAACTTTCCCATTGAGTCTTGTGAAAAAGACTGCTTGGTGTCATTTATGAGTGGCGTCTCAAACTTCACCTTCACTTTGAATAGGTTTGACAATTATTCATATATTCATTAATATTATTAATATAAATCCTAGTGCCACTAGCACAAATAAACTTGATACTTAGTGAAAGAATGTAACTCATGGAAAGCATCTGAAAATGATACTTACAGTATTTATATTCAATTTTCCATTTGCAACATTATTGTTTTTACCAGTAAATTTTCCTCTTTTTCTTTCAAATTTCAATACATCTGCGTTCGATCAGATTTTTTATTAAATCTATTTAAATAGATACCTGAGTATTGTTACGGTTAAAAATGTACTGTGACCAAAAGAACGTGATCGACAGCGCCGTGACCGGTTTGAATGCATGCAAGCATTTCCCACGATCGAACGATAACGACAAGGCTTATTGCACCAAATCGGGCGGGCATGGATCGAATGCATGTCAATGAGGTTTCAGAGTGGCGACATGGTGAACAATTGGGTATGAAAATTGGTGGGAAAATCTAGTGAATAGAATGAATGTATAAAAGAGACAAGTCATTGTAATAGTTTACTATCTTTTGAGATCCTTGATCTTTCGTGGTGCCCGAGAAGGGCTAAAGATAATAATAAAGAAACCGTGGTTAAATAAATAAAGTTGGTTTGTTAGTACTAGTGTTAGTATTTTAGTGTTAATGATTAACAGAATTAATAAATACTCGCCAAATCTAATCCACGCCTCTAATCGAGTGTGCCTCCCAAAGGTTGCCTCTTTTACCGTACATTTTAAATTATTCTTATCAAAGTTATTTTTATCAATTACGCAATTCAAGTTATATGATTACGTAATAATTGTTTAAAGCATACTTTAAAATTGTTTAAATCAAAAATCAGTGATTCATATCATCGTGATTTAAATCACGTGTTATCCCTAACAAAAAAGTTGGGTGCTTTGCTCGATACCATATTGTTAATGATTACAGTAGGACGATAATAAAAAAAAAAACTTTGCTGACTATTAATTAATATGTTTAGCTGCATTTTAAATTCAAACTCAATGACATAACTTTTTAGAGATATACTAGGTTCGTGATTAAGTGTATAAAATCTGAGCCCAAAAGTATGTGAAATTTGTGTACAATGCACACATAATATATGCGTGCTACAACACATTTGCATATCTGATATATCGAATGACACATGCAAAGTATTACAGCATATGTAAGTTAAGACTTTTTGACTGATCGTTCATATCTCTATCAGGACGTAAAAAAGGTTATGACACTGATCGTGATCACCTGTAATCTAAACCACTAAGCCACCCTCTATTACCATAATAGTATACATGATTATTTTTTGATTTTTATGCATCTAAGCCATTAAATCACAATAATGATATACGATTACGAAGTTGGACATTGTTATTAAAATGAAATTAGTGTTGTACCTCATGTTTCATGTTCATATATATTTATATGTACGTACGTACTACATAAAATGGACATGTGACACGAGGTGACCAAATACCCGATTGAA